TATATATATGCATAATCTGGCAAACTATCAATTGTTTAACATCTACATCGGCAGACAGAGTGGAAAGCCTAATCCATGACTGAGCAACTAAAATACAATTGTAATGATACCGCAACCGTCATAGCAATTCACATGAATATTTGCCAAATTTAAATAAATATTTTCTAAATGACACGAAGCAATACACACCGATGCAAGTATGCATGCGTGTGTGGGTGCAAAGTTGTTGCGGGACTACAAGTTCCCACACTGCCGCAGACGTCAGCCGAGCCAACTATGACGTTGACGCTGTCGCCAACGACGCAAACGATAATGTGGCAGCAACGACAGCAATTGAGGTGAGGATGCTGCAGAGCTGTTGCCTATGCCCACCGACCGCACCACGCCGCACTGCCACCCCACGAGCAACGCGCAAGTATATGTCACATGCCACGGCGAGCGAGCCACGTTGTGCTGTGGTGCGGCACAGTCACCTACATTCGTGTGGTAATGCACATACACACACACACGCTCATAAGTAACTATAAAAGCAAGGTAGCAACAAATAGCTGTGACAGCATTTAAACAACTAAGCAAAACAGCGCGCGATTGTCTAACAACCCAGGCAGGGGATTAAAGCACGCACACTCAACTTGTTTGCATGCGGTGCGCAGTTGTTGCCAAGCGATGTATAAGCCTCTAACAAAAACAACAGCATGCAACATGTGGCATTACCCGGTTGTAAGCAGCGCATTTTTCTGTCTCCATACACACGCCTCAGTTGTGGCAGCTTCCACCCCCTCCGACGCCGCCTCGCACACGCGCAAACTGCTATTTGCATGTTGCGGCGACAAGCAACAAACGCCTGCAACAATTCTCGCCGTTTGTCGCGCACGAAACGCCAACAAGTCAAAGACATTTTCCATGGCCTCCAGCCGCAGCAGTCACACAATCGACAGCACATATAGCCAGCTTCTGCGCCAGCCAGCCAAACAAACAAGCAACCAACCGACAACACACAAACACACACATCTATAACCATGTAGCAACAATCGCTGCCGTCGCATCTCCGCAATAGTAAAACAATCACGCTAGAAACCGAAAAAATGCAGGCGAAGCCACAGTTGAGTCACACGCTCACTCCCCCAACGGCTTGACTATTGTCTCAATGCGCCCAAACCGCATTTGCAATTCAACAGCAGCCAGCGCAAGAGCGCACTTCCTCGGCCCATCTCCTATTCATACGACGAAGCTTTGAGCGCCCAGCAATAGTGGCCATACGAAGCTACACACCTACAAACACACACTCATAGGTGTGTGTATATTTACATTTATAGATGATGTAAGCGCCGAAAAGTGTGATGCATCACCCGCGCATACGCCGACCATCCACTTGCGCTGTTGCATGCCGCATAGACATTACCTGCACATATATACACACACATATGCAATCAGTAACCGCAGAGCCTCAGCTTCCTTTGGTTGCGTTGCGAAGCTTCACACAGCTTCGCTATTTGCCAAAGTTGCTTGCCGTGCGCTTTTGTGCCGCTTCTGCTGCTGCCTCTTCTTCTGCATTCGTCGCTTTTGTCTCTTTGTGCTGGGCATAGTCATTGTTATTGCTGTTGTTGGCCGCTTAGTCGCCTTTGTCTGTTGTCTGTTGTTTGCTGCCTGCTGGCTGTCGTAAATGTTGTCCCATAGCAGTTGAGGCATCTTCAGCAGATTAAAATCTCTGAGCCCATGCGCACAGTGGGTCGCAACCGAACGCCTGCGAACACTTGCGCTTCTTATATAATTCATAGTTTTAATGCGGAAAAGTGTGTTTTTGTATAATTTTATGTATTTGACGTAGTCGCCGTAAGAGTGTGGAGTGGGAAAATGATGCGTTAACTATGTTTTGGGACGGAATTCAATTGCATGCTAGCCGCAGGTGTGGTTGCAATTAGTTAGGGCGTTAGATTGCTTGACAGCTGCTGGGTTACTATGTCAAAAAAATACTTATGCAAAGATGTTTATAAAATTGGGTCATGAGTGGCAAGTGCAGGTTGTTCCACCTACATTAAGCTCGTTAAGGGTTTTCTGGGCAAAGGCGTGTTTTAGGCAGCACACGCTACCTCTCCGTTTCAATAAAGTCGCAAGTTGTCAGAATAGTAAAGAGAATATATAGTTTTGCCTCGGGAATTGAAGAAGAAGCATAAATGTAAATGTAGTTTGATTGGCCGTATACTTGACCTTAATTTTAGCTTTCATGTTTTAACTTTACCTTAATTTTTTTAATAATAAGAGCATTCTGGTTTTACATTTGATCAAATTTGACCCGGACTGGAGCCCAATTAATCTTTTTCAGATTGATACATCCTTTTTTATGTCAATAAAAATAAAGATAAATGCATTCTGTATTTAAATGTGATCAAATTTGACCCGAACTGGTACCGAATCCATATTTTTTCAGATTGGTACATCCTTTTATTTTTTTGTGAATAAAAATAAATACATATCCCTACTTGATTTATATCTGATCAAATTTAACCCGGACTGGAACCGAATCCATATTTTTTCAGATTGGTACATCCTTTTTTTAATATAAATAAAAATAAATATACATGCATTCTGGTTTTACATCTGATCAAATTTGACCCGGACTGGAGCCCAATCAATCTTTTCCAGATTGATACATCCTTTTTTATGTCAATAAAAATAAAGATAAATGCATTCTGTATTTAAATGTGATCAAATTTGACCCGGACTGGTACCAAATCCATCTATTTTCATATTGGTACTTCCTTTTATTTTTTTGTGAATAAAAATAAATACATATCCCTACTTGATTTATATCCGATCAAATTTGACCCGGACTGGAACCTAATCAATCTTTTTCCAAATTGGTACATCCTTTTTAATTTCGTGAAAATCTTATAATCTTAAAATCTTGTAATCTTAATTTTCACATATAAAGTAATGGGCGTTTGGCAGTTGTTTGTTTCTGACACTAACGCCGTTTGCCGATTTTTACCATGGAAATGCTTCCAATGGTATCAGGGCTTCCGAATCTGTTGATAACATTGAAAAGGTGTTTTGGGGGACCGACACAGCACGCAGTCAAAATCTTCCCTCCACCAACGTTAATGACTATAACATCGAAAAGAATAAAAAAACACTGCTGGAAAATCATCGTATCGACATTATAAAAAAATCAAAGGGTCTCAATATCATTCATGGATCGACACTAATGTCTTGTGTTCATGTTTTTAACATAAATCGTGACTCATATCATAATGCTGGACTCATATCGAAATACGTAAATATGTTTGCAGAACGACTATGAGAAGAGAACGCTAAAGAGACTTGACAACATATCTAAGGACCCTACATTCTTCAAATCCATCATTCTTGATAACGCGATGTTGGCTAATGAATTTGAGGTCGAAACTATCCACTATGTCATTGAAGGTCGTCGCACCCGATACTTATAACATTTGTATGGAAAATTCGATTAACATTTGACATGCTTATATTGCTTCAGTAGACTATTTGGAAGGCGTTATATTGTAGTTTTTTTCAGTCCGGGTGATATTTGATCTTATGTTACAATATTTTTATTGCAGAAACCGCACAGTTCTATCTACTGGAAGAGATAGCTTCAAGTGTTCTAGTCCCAGTCTAGAAAATTTTACTATATATTTCCGATTTTCTTGGGCTTTGTCTTTCAACGTTCAGTGAGGCGGATCCGAAATTACTGATCTATCTTCACTTGTTCTATCTTTCACACTAATATAGGTAATCATTCTTTTGGGTTCTACATTATCAGAATGGTTTCTTTTAATTAGACTGCAGCTGTGTTGTCCAGATGCAAACATTTCAACTCTGAGAGTATTCAACGCACTATCCGCCGGGGGAAGTAGAGGAAGAGGAAGACCTCCACTCCTGCGGAAATACCAGGTGGAGAAGGACCTGGATTCGCTTGAAATCTTCAATTGGCGCCAAGTATCGAAAAGGAAGAACAACTGAGGCCCTGTTGTAAACTCGACTATAACCATGTAAGCGGTGTCTACTCCAATAAAGAAGAAGAATAATGCTGTCCAGAACTTTACTATATTGTGAAGAGGCTTAAGGCGATTCTCTCTATCATGCGTTTAAACAATTTCGTTCAGGAAGTTCCGCTATAGATCTAAGGAACCACTATACTCATACCATAATATTTAGAACTGATTGAGTTGAGTTGAGTTCGTGTTATGATTTGCTGAGGAGTAATCTTAATAGAAAAATCTTAAAAGCTTCCTTAGTTTAGAAAAAGCTATATTTTTATATATTGATGCTATTCCCGCTTTGCATTGAAATCCGCAACTGAAAACTGCATAAACTGTAATCGTCAACTGCTTAACACTTCCTTGAGAATTTTTATAATCAGCTCATTACACATTTGCGATCACGATGCATGATTCCACTTACAACAATGCGCGTATATCTTAGCTTCCCTTTCACTTTTAGAACATTCTACACAAAGTAAAGCAATATGGTCGGCAGCAATTGTAATAAAATACAAGCGTCTTGCACACACACACACACACATAGACAGCTTGCATATGCCACCGCGCGCTATTGAAAGTGAAGCTCCATCGACCACTCAATGTTCGTGAGCCAACAACAAAAGCACCAGCAACAATAATGGCTAGACAATAAAACCATAAGCCGTCAACAGCAATTCAGTGTGGTGAAGAAGCAACACGCGCACAATGCGCAGCGCGGCAGAAGAAGTGTGTATGTGTGGCAGCAAGCTGCGTAGCGCCAAAGCCAACATTGTTGTCGCCGCTACCAGCTCTGCGCTGCGCTGCTCCGTGAAACCGCTTTTGGCTTCTGAAATTGTTTTGCTGCGTCGCTGCCGACGTTGCTGCTGGCGTGCAGTTGGCGGCGTTGAAGATGTTTTTCGAAGCTCTTTTGGCTTGGCGTCGTTGCGATTGCGCAGAGATGGGCCCAAAGTGGTTTTCCTTTCGTTTGCCACAGATCATTCCGCTTCGAATTCATAAACGATCAGGTCGTGCATCGCGCACCACAACGAGTGGTTTGAACATTTTTTTTGTGTGTGCTTCTTTGCCTTGTCTGTGGGCACCGGTGAGACTTTGTGCGCGCTGTAAAAACTTTGTGCGCAGCATTTGTTGTGTGTTTCTTGTTATTGTTGTATTATTTTACTCACTTACTAAAGCTGTCAATTACAACGAGCGCTTTCGTGTATTTACATAGTTTGTTTGTAAAAACATTGTTTTTTTTTTGTATATACAAAACGGTTTTCTTCGCGTTTCGCTGCACATTGTAAACGCTTTGGAGCGCCAGCGCCAGTGTCCGCCTTTTAAAGACACCTCAAACGCTCGCACGGACGTATACGCATGCGTATTTGCATTTGTTTTTCCGCTTGAGTGCCGTTGCGTCTAATAGCTAAAACCGACAAACGTTGCAGGCGTAGAGCAAAAAGGTTACCGTTAAATCAAGCAACCAAACTCCCGCAATAGCGATGACAATCAACAGCAACTACAACAAAAACAAAGTGGACTTGTGAAAATCTCAAAAACGTTTTAAACGCGTGTATTCGGTGTTACTTCTTGTTGTTGTTGTTTTTTATGGAACAGCTGCAATTAGAAAATCATTAACTGGAATTAAATTGCAACAGCGGTGACTAGCGGAAGCGTATTGTTGTTGTCTGATACGCGTTCGTGGTCTTTTACTCTTTCGCAATTCTGGTACAGTGCCTTACTGTGTCTTCATAATTGTGTTGTTATTGCCATTGTTGTATCTAATTGAAGGTGCGGGTATCCTTGAAGTGCGCGCAAGTGACAAGTGAAGTCAAGCAAAGAAATATAATAAATACTTCTACATAAATCCACCGGAAATTATCACGATAGTTAAACGAATCGATTATATAGTTTTAATTACCTGTAAAAACCGTTTAATCGCCTGTGAAAATCACTACTGCCAAACATTTTTGGACAAGGACGTCATTTAAAACTTAACAGAAATTGGTTAACCTTTAGTGGATATTGCAACGGCAGCATTATGTTGGGGCTTCAAAGATTAACTTGGATTTATATCGGTGGTAAGTTGGAGTTCTCTTTTAATATTGTGAAATAAGCATTAAAATTAATTAAGGAAGCGCTAAGTTCGGGTGTAACCAAACGATTAACCGGTTGTTCGAAAATCTTTATGTAGGGCATTTGGGGGAAAGGCAAGTATGTCCGAGCATAGTATTGTCAAGAAAGGTATTTTTCGAATTCCCATATATATCTCAGAGACTGACCTATATGTTTGGTTTGCGATAGCAACTGGGGTCCACATATTCGGTAGCTGAGAGTTCATATTCATGCAAAGTCTTATCCATATACATTGTTTGATTCTTGACGTGTTTACTGAAAAGTGTACAAATCAGATTGTGTTATATGAAACGAGGCGTGTTTTTTTTAGATTTGTCATATCGTGTAGCGAAATTGTTGCAAATTGAGGGAGCAGGTCTCGAGATATAGATTTTCTCCTAAATATGGGGAGTGGGCGAGGTTATAATGCGATTTCAACTATTTTTGCACTTGCATTAGAAGTGCTTAAACGACATTCCGATCAAGTTTGGTTGATTTGGCTTAATGGGGTTTCATGGGCTTCCTCTGGTAAAAAATAAAATATTTCATTAGAATTTTTTATTGTTACAAATATACACTATAAGCAAAACAGATATGAAATTTTTGGAAATAAATATTATAAACTCGGCCATTGCGAGACCATTTACAGTGATTCCTTGGAAAAAAGATACGCCCGCGCTAGCAGGATACCTCCTTACAGGATCGCCTAAAGTGAAAAAGTATATTTTCTAGCTAAACCTTAACTTTGAACTTGAATGAAGGGTAAAAAATTGAAAATTGGATTTTTGGCAGACATTTTTACAAAAGAATGAAAATTTCAGAGAAAACTCCACAACGATTTTTGTTTGAAATAACTGTAACCGAAAAAAAATCCTTCGTTCAGTTCTTTAAGATTTGTATCTCAAAGACCGCTATAAAATTTCATGAAGATCGGTTGAGTAGTTCTCGAGTTATCTTGCCAACCGACTTCAAAAACACAGTTTCGAGCAAAACGAGCTTAAAGACGGCGCACTTAGCCTTGCTAGCCTCGAGCGCACAAGCTCTCAAGGCTGCATCTCCGAAACTATTACTCAGATCAACTTGAAAATTTTGGAACATATCCTAGAGGTGCTATAAAATTTAACAAGATAATAAAAAAGTTAAATTTTTTGAAACCGCTTACAAATGTAACCCCTTAAATTGTTTGGGATTTTAATTTAAATGAAGCGGATCATTATTAGATTAACGTGCATAAAATGTTTTTATTTCTCCGACATTTTTAGGTTTATTTATTTGTTGTAAACAAGAGCTAACAATGTCTAAAGAAGAATATTTGTCTGAAATTGAGCATTAACTGTGATTTCGTAGTTAAAAAGTAATATTTCGTCATTATTTGTTTATTGTTTAGTTTTCTAATGTTTACATCTTCGTAATTATATAATATTTCTTAACTGCATTCGGCGGCTATTTTCGTTGTCTCGTGCAGCTTCAGACATAATTGCTAGTCCCATGCAATTTCCGCGAAGATTCGTTAGGTTATTAAAACGGTGGTATGAAATTGCAAACAAACTAAAAAATACTCAAAAAGTGCTTGTCTTGTCTTTCTTAATTTTGGAAAAACTTTGCCAAAGAGCCTATTGCGAAACTGCAAACTGGATCCTCTCGTTCCCTTTACGAAGAAGCGGTATCATAGAGATATAAAAATGAGAATAGAATTAAATTGTAAAATAAGGAAAACATTGCTATAACATCCGTCATAGGTGCATTTCTTATAGCATATTGATTCGATATGTGGGCAGTTGAAAATATAGGACGCAAAATTTCAAATCGACATCTTCAAAACTGAGGAACGCGATCGCCTATATACAGATAGACGGCTCAACAGAGTAAACAAAGTTAAATTTACTAGGGCACGTTGCCACGCACAGAATTTCAAATGACAGGTGCTGCTCACACTACGATACTCTGCATCAAATTACATATTTGTACTTAAAATAATTAAAACAATTTATATTGAAGAAAACTATTATACTTCGTAGAACAACCTTTAACAAAATTTGTCAGTATAGTAACTCTACATTACTGCCATTAACTATAGGTAAATTAATAATCGATTATTAACATTGGGATAGTTTTACAGATCCAATTCGATTGCTAATTATTTGAAATTTTATAATTGTCAATATATTGAGTTTTAATAATAGCGAGCGAAGGTTTCGAAAATTGCTTTAAAAAGCTCTAATATTAAATTTGGCACCGATCACTGTGATGAACTATGTCGATTTAGTCATTTAGTCCGTCCATTCGTCTGTATAATCGCGATCCTCAATTTTCTCACAACATTTTCATCCAAAGAAGCTGCTCGTTTGTTGGACCCTAAGAGCATATAACGGGCTTACAAATTGAATTATCAAAATCACGACCTTCTAGTTGACGATATATTTGCAGGAAATGTAGCGCATAATATTATCCAAGGCAATTTGATGTGAGATTATTGATTTAATTGACGTTTGGCTATCGAATTATATATTCGCAACGACTTCTGCATGGAAGATACTCCGGCAGCTTGAAGAGTAGTTCGAGTTCCGCCAATAGATGCCGCTGCTAACTTTATTAGCCATTTTTGATCCKTTTACAACATTTATACTGAGATTAAATCGAATTTTTCTGAACATCATAATGTAATTGGCTTTTGCTGAAAATGAAAACAAAGGATAAGTTTTTATCTTCAGTATTTGAAATAGATATATCAACAMTATTTCATACTTAATGGGAGCCGCAACAAAAAACTTTGAGAAATCGTACAATTCTCAAACTATCGACTGTACTAGTACCTATATTTTGTTTCGAAAACTCGAAGTGYTTAGGAAAGTGCGTAGTTTTGTTTCCTGTCTGTTATGATATTTTTTTTTTTTTTGTAATCGCGAATATCAGTGGTCGACAAATTCCACATTCAAATGGTATATATTTTATTGATTAAATTTTTAATCCTGCCGTCGTTGTTAAAAATTAATTTCAAATTTTAATTAAATTTTTTTAATTGAAAAATTCGCAACGCTGAAAGAAAGTCATAATCACACAAAGGCTTTAACAGCACCAAAAGCCGTTTTATCATTGAAYCAGCGCAATTGAAAACCGACTCAAAGTAAACTCCTACCAAGGTCAGGCGAAAATTGCAAATCCTATTTGATAACTTGCGACGGAATTATAAAACTGCTAGACCTTTCATGAACTGAATTATGGGAATTTCTTCAAATAWTGTCGCCAGAAAATGACACACCGCAATGACCAGCACAATTTACATCATTAAAAGAAGATAATGCTTATGGAATTATGTATGTATGAGTCCATTGGGTTGGCAACAATTTGCTCAAATTTCAAGGTTCATTCATTGGTACTCTTCGTTGAAATTTAGCACATTTAAAATACCATAATGGCGCTTTTATTGCCCAATGCGTGATTCGCATAATTATCTCCCACACTTAAATATAATTCCATATACTCATGAATGTATACACAAACGCTACAAGCTTGACATTAGCGTTYAAAAATTTGATAAAGCGTCAGAAGCGTGAAATATGTGGAACTGAAAACAATAAAAAACTGATGAAGTTGAAATTAAAAAATAGTTTATTTGTTAAAATCGCACTCGAAATGAAATAAAATAAAATGTTGATAAATGCGTACAAAAATTGTTTCGCTCATTAGCATTTGTTTTGGTCAATCACAGTGGGCAATAGCGGCGTGTATTGCTTTTGTTGTATTTYGAATACAATCGCACACACACATTTGTGTTGTGAAATCTAATTACGCATAGAAAATTGATTCTGAATGCAACCGCTGTACTTTTAAGCCGCCGCTGCTGCCATAACAAAACAGTGACTGAAGGTCGAACAATCAAAGGCGCACAGCTCAATCATTGTCTCATCATATTTAGATGGTTTTAATTTAAATGAARCGGATCATTATTAGATTAACGTGCATAAAATATTTTTATTTCTCCGACATTTTTAGGTTTATTTATTTGTTGTAAACAAGGGCTAACAAATTGAGCAATAACTGTGATTTCGTAGTTAAAAAGTAATATTTCGTCATTATTTGTTTATTGTTTAGTTTGTTAATGTTTACATCTTCGTAATTACATAATATTTCTTAACTGCATTCGGTGGCTATTTTCGTTGTCTCGTGCAGCTTCAGACATAATTGCTAGTTCCATGCAATTTCCGTGAAGATTCGTCAGGTTATTAAAATAGTGGTATGCAGAAGAAGAAGAATAACAAATTAAACACATGAAACCGCAAACAAACTAAAAAATACTCAAACACTGCTTGTTTTGTCTTTCTTAATTTTGGAAAAACTTTGCCAAAAGAGTCAAATGCGAAACTGCAAACTGGATCCTTCCATTCCCTTTACGAAAAAGCGGAATTATAGAGATATAAAAATGAGAATAGAATTAAATTGTAAAATAAGGAAAATTGATTCGATATGTGGGCAGTCAACAATATAGGACGTATGCAAAATTTTAAATCGACATCTTCAAAACTGAGGAACTCGAACGCCTATATACAGATAGACGGTTCGACAGACCAACACAGTTTAATTGTGTTATTGTAGCGGCAGAATTCGGCAGAGTTGACAGTCCTTGGTTCGATAAAAAATCCGATTCCGCTCCGGTTACGTAGATCCGACAGTCGTAGGAATGGAAAAACAGCTTAACCGACTCAACCCGTAAGACAGACCATTTATATACATACTATATATACTTTATAGGGTCGGATTGGTTTCTTCCGGATCTTACAAACTCGTGGTAAACTGAAATTTATTACAAATCATTATTATAGCTTATCTTAAGACAAAACAAATGTACAAACATTCTATTCAATTTCCATGCAACTTATGACAATTGGTTTCATCGGCTTATTAGAGCTTAAATCGATCTGAGTTGGAAGACCATTCAACAATTTGTTGAACATAAGATAACAAAACA